TGTGTGCATATGTATAAATTTGTTTTCATAGAGAAATGAGATTGTATTATAGATGCTGTCTTATTTGACAGATTGCTTTGACAAATGAGAAATATTTGGAGTACATCCTTCTATATCAGAACCTGGTTAGATTTTTAACCAAGCCTCCAATAACTACTATTTTATTTTTCTCTTTCAGAAATCTTTGATGGGGGAGATATTTAGAATTATATGTTAATATACGATTATTGCTAGCTTATGCTGTTAAAATAGTTTTCTGTCATTTACCTGATGTTACTGTATTAATCTAATTTAAATGTCCAGGCATTGAAGAGGAGTAGCTATTCACATACATGGATTTAGGAAACCATTCCAACTTATCCAGTATTAGGAAAATGTATGAATCAAATTATTTTAAAAATTAAAAAAAAAAAAACACCCAGCAATAATCATACTGATTTAATTTATAATAATATGCCATTCCTACTATTATTGAACATATTTTTAACATTTTAGCAAATGCCAGAAATTAAGAGGAGTAATATGCTCTAAATAGTAATATGCTCTAAATAGGCTCAGTGGCTAGAGCATTGGCTCATGCACTAAAGGGTCTTGGGTTTGATTCTGGTTGAGGGCACATACCTCAGTTACAGATTCAACTCCCTGCCCTAGTTGGGTTGTGTGTGGGATGCAACTAACTGATGTGCCTCTCTCACATCAATATTTCTTTCCTGTCTCTCTCTGAGAATCAAAATATCCTCAAGTGAGGATTAACTGAAAAAAAGAAAAAGAAAAAGAAATATAAAAATAAGGATGGAAAGAATGGAACAAATTACCTTTACTTAAATATAGTAATGGTGGATATACTACATAAAAATATGAATAAAACAGAAAACCTAAAAAAAAAAAAAAAGATGAGCATTAGTGTGCTGAAATCAAATTTAATATAATAATACAAAAGAACAGGTTTTTTTGAAAATACAATAAATACAAAAATTATCTTCATAATTGCAATAAAATAGAAAATAAACAGGGATAAATTTAATAAAAAATATGTAACACCCATATGAGTACCATATTTTCCGGCGTATAAGACGACTTTTGAAATGAAGAAAAGCCTGCTCAGATTGGCCAGAGTCAGAGAGACAGTCTATAAAAAAAGAACTGGCGCCGGGACCAGTTTGGCTCAGTGGTAGAGCGTTGGTCGGCGGACTGAAAGGTCCCGGGTTCGATTCCGGACAAGGGCATGTACCTTGGTTGTGGGCACATCCCCAGTAGGGGGTGTGCAAGAGGCAGCTGGTAGATGTTTCTCTCTCATCGACGTTTCTAACTCTTGTCCCTCTCAATTCCTCTCTGTGTAAAATCAATAAAATATATTTGAAAAATAAATAAATAAAAATAAAGAAAGAAAGAAAGAACTGGTGTTGCCTCGGAAGTGGGGGGTAGTCTTATTCAGCAAATATAGGCATAGGCCTAAACCTATGTTTTAACTAAAATTAGGGGGGTCGTCTTATATGCCGGAAAATACGGTACATGTTTTAAAAATTACTAAAAAACATAAAAATATATTGATTTAATAAGGTATGCAACCCCAGAGAGAAAGCACAATATTTTTTCAATTAACATAATAACAAATTTATACATTTAATAACAATAACTTTTAAAATCTCCTTGGTGAGCTTTTGGAAACAATGATTTGATTACAAATTTTCTCTGGAAAAATAAATATATTAAATGACCTAAGAAGAATTAAGAAAAAGAGGAATCTTGGGCATGTGTAACAAAATAACCTATAGATTCACTCTTGGTTGAAGTGTGTTTTGAAACAACCTTGCTGGAGCGCATTCTAACCATTTCACCCTGAAATTCTATTTCAAAAAAATGTTTAAGAGAACCAGGGAAGTGGCCTATGAATTTTAGGCACAGGTGTGTTCAGAGAGGGATAGAAAATAGTGGTTTCATTTGTGTCCGTGGAGAAATGGCTTAGTTTTAGAACACTTTTGTTCTTTTCCAAATTACCCCAGCCTCTGCATCAATAAGATTTTGAAGAGACATAGTTCAACGTCAAGGCTATGGTATCTGAATACACCAGGAGCCAAGAGTGCAGGTGTCCTGAGTGATCTCTGGGCAGATCCGATCCCCCTGACAAAGGCAATCTGTTACGGGGCAGGTTGACTCTTGACTGACCCTGTAATTAGGTGCTTAAATGGGCTGGTGTTGCAAGACACTTATTTTTCACTTAGAGGACAGTTTTTTAAGTGAATTTCTCTGGTCACACAGAGGTTAGAGTTGGGTTTACAGAAATGTGCAGAACTAACACTTAAAGTCTGATTCCCGAGTTACTGCAAACAAAAGTGAACTTAATCATTATTTTTAAAATGGGCCCCAATTTTATTTGTTACTTTTCAAGAAGACCCGGAATAACATCTTCAATCACTATGAGTTACTATAGAGAGCCATGAACTCAGTATGTTTATTCTCAATGGTTTTGTGACTCAGCTTATCCAGCACTTTTAGGCTCAATAAAGTATTTTGTAAAAATCCTCATATTCTATGAAGTCTTAACAGAACAAATTTTGCTGATGCCGTGCACTGGGATTAAGGCAGGCTCAGCTTTTTAGAGATTGCAGGTGATGAAAATAAGGATACTTATACATATGATGATGATAAAAGGTGAATTGGGGGGGGGGGCATGTCATGAGACATCCAAGGAAAAAGCAAGATTACAGTTAGAAGGGGCTGTTAGAAAAGGTATATGAGGTTAAATCAGTTGGGGGAAATGAGCTTCCTTCCTTCCTTTCTTTTTTTAAAATAGATTTTTATTGATTTCAGAGAGGAGTAGGAGGAGAAAAAGAGAAACATCAATGATGAGAGAGAATCAATGATTGAGGAGGTCCAGACACAACAGCCAGAGAAGATGATAGCTTTAGGACAGTAGAAGTTCATGAGAGTTCTAATTGCATGGTTTATTTATTTCTTATATGCATTAGACATTGCATAATAAGATAATGTAAGAAACTCTTTTTACTAAATGAATAGGTAATGAATGGTATTACTATCTTAATTTCACTTCTTGATTACTACTGCTTATAAACGTCTTTTCATATTTTAATTGTAATGTTATTCTTTGTGAATTGCTATTGATGCCATTTGTCCATTTTCAGTCTGTATAGCTTTTATTTTTGGTTTTCAGAAATTATTTATTAATAATTATACGAATCCTTACACTATCTTATTGGTAGAAAAAAAATGTACTTTTGTCAGAGAAATAGAATTGTATAAAACTGAAGCCCATTCTGGATTTTTATCTTTAAAAAATTGTAATGGTTTGTTTTTTAAAATTTTCTTTTTTATGATTATAAACGAAATGTCATCAGTGCAAAAAAAAAAAAAATCCAAAATCAAAATTTATAATAACCCTAACATATAGAGATTACTTTAACTTCTCTTTCTAATTAAGTTATTAACATTTTAGTGCCTTTCCTTTATGAATATAAATAATGAATATAAATGTACATATTATATGTATAAATTTATATATGTCAATATGTAAAAATATCTATACATTCATACACACATGGCTTTATTAGAAGGGTATTATTTCTCTGCCTTATAGAATGCATTTTCCCAGGAAATATAGTTTTACACCATTATTTCAAAATATTTGAATGGTATGCCATTATATACGTATGCTAATTATTCAACAAGCTAACTATTTATTCAACAAATAGTTATTAACACCCTAATAGTGGCCCAGCTGCCATGGCAAAGTGGTTGAATGTTGACATATGAACCAGGAGGTCATGTTTCATTCCTGGTCAGGGCACATGCCCAAGTTTTTGCCTTGATCCCAGTGTGGGCCATGCAAGAGGCAGCCAATCAATGATTCTCTCTCATCATTGATGTTTCTATCTCTCTCTCCCCCTACCTTTCTATCTGAAATCAGTTTTGTTTTTTTTGTGTTTTTTTTTAAAGATGCTAATAACGCCTTAGAGCAGCACTGGGAATAAAGCAACGTACAAAACTCCTGTAGAGGTGAAGTTTGAATGCTATTGGAGAAAATACACAGTAAACAAATAAACATTGTATATAATATAAGTACTAGGAAGAAAGAAAAAAAAGGAAGATGATAGAAAGTAGTAGGTGAGCGTGAGGGGATGAGGTGCTTTAGGAAGGCCTTTTCAAGGGGCAGGAACCTCACGGACGTATGGGATCCCCCATGCCAATATTTAGGTCAAAATCATTTTAGGCAGAGAAAGAACAAAGTGTACCTTTAAAATAAATAAAAACAGTTTGACATTGATTAACATTTAGATTCCCTCCAATTATTTAAAAATTTAAATAAAATATTAAACAGGTTTGGAGAGACCATTCTTCTTAAAGGTTTTGTAAATTTTTGCAAGTATTCTAACTGTTCTCCTTAATTAAAAAAAATATATATATATTATTGATTTTTGTACAGAGAGGAAGGAAGAGAGATAGAGAGTTAGAAACATCGATGAGAGAGAGTCATCGATCAGCTGCCTCCTGCACACCCCCTATTGGGGATATGCCCACAACCGAGGTACATGCCCTTGACTGGAATTGAACCCGGGACCCTTCAGTCCCCAAGCCGACGCTCTGTCCACTGAGCCAAACCGGTTTCGGGTGTTCTCCTTAATTTTCAAACTTATTTTCCTCCTGTTGTATGTCTTCATGGCCATACTGATAAGAAGATGTGAAAGTGTATATGAAAGGATGTCTATCAAATTCCATAATATTCCATGGGTTCTAATTTATATTTTTTAAAAGAAAAACAAAAGTTTAAGAAAAAATTATTTGAGTATATTAGAATATAGGATGTATAATTTAGAGAATTTTTATAATTAAAAGAAAAAAATTAAAATGACTTGCCATTACTTGTACTGCTACTTAATACTTTCTGTTTATGCCATTTTTAACTCCATGTGACCTTTAGTAAAATCATTTAAAAATAAGGGCTTTAACACATAAAGTTTTGTGTTTCTTTCGTTCTCCTTCAGGTTGCTGATGCCAAGTCTTTCTCGGGTCCTTTTAATGTCTTGCCTGTGAAGACCAAATGGAGTAGCATTGGCTTTCATATCCTTCTATTTGACTTGGAAAGCCTTGTTGAACTTCTGCTGTCAACATCGGTCTGTGACAGTGACCCTTCCAATTCATTCTATCCCAGTGAGATCCTGAGAAGAGCCAGAAGTACAGTTGAGAAGAAAACACTGACGCTGAAGAGAAATAAAACCTCCTGTGCTTCTCTCTCAGCAGAGGCACAAGCCAGGCCTGTGAGTGAAGCCCCGAGCCAAGGAGATAGTTCCACCCTGGTCTTAGAAGAATATGAGGGAATAAAAAGGCAGAAGAAACTGAAGAGCTCCAAAAAGACACACCCTACGCCATCCAGAAAATTTGATGCCAACCTCACAATAGATGTAGCCAAATTGCTCCTATCTTGCCTTTTGCCATGGGGCGTGGATAAGGAATTAGATAACCTTTGCATTAAGCATCTCAATATTTTGAAGCTTCAGGGTCCCGTTTCTTTAGGACTTGCTTCAAATGAAGATCACTTCTCACTGATGCTGCCAGGTTGGGATGTATGCAATGCCGAAACGAAGAAAGACTACTCGAAAGTCAATTTGTTTTCCAGAAAAGTGTTGGACTTGTCAAACAAATACACATCCACTCTTCCAAATCAAGCTGGGACACCAGGAGGACTGGAAAATAATTGCGATGCTTCGCATGAGTCAAACACTATCACTTATTTATTGAGAAGACTGTTTTTAGTTAACAAATTAGTTAACATGCCTGTAGACGTGGCATATGGAACTGACAGGTAAGACATGCCAAGAGATTTTGACTATTCTTATTTGGGATATTTTAAAAATTACCATTATTTGTTGTATTCATTTCCCTAGCCTTTCTCCTTCTTTACTTCATTTACATAAAGAATGAATATGCAACAACTCCTTTAGCTCCAAAGACATTTAAAAACCAAACCTTTCTTTTAATTTTTGGGATTAGAGGATAATTTGAGCAATAAATTTGTTTTAAAATATATCGTTCAACAAATAATCCTTGTTCTCATAATATGTGCCAGGAAAATCAGAGTTCTGGATGCCGAATGATTCAATAAATAGATGACACATACATATATACATACATATATACATACAACCTTGAAATACATTGCACTTGCTATGAATTAAATATGAACAAAGAACATTTAAGTAATTGCCTATAATGATATGTTTTATATATCATAGGGAAAGGAAAAGTTTGAAAATCTCATTCCTCAAATCCCACCATTTAATGTATACTTTGGCATTTTAAAAATAGGAGAGACCACCAGTAATTAATTTGTAGAAAGTACAGTTTAGTAATAATAACTGCTGTGTGTATTTTTAGTGCTTAGTATCAGTATCTGCTGGTCACCATGGAAGCCCTTTACATACATGATTTTATTTAGTATGCACAGCAAAGCTGGGCTATAGGCCTTATTATTTTGCTCATTATATGGGTGACAACATTAAGGCTTATGGAGAGAAGACACCAACCCCATGACTAATTCAGCTTTTTGGAGTCTGATTCAAGGTTGAGTACCAGTTTCTTTCCAAAGCCTGATTAATCACTAACCTTAACTCTTAGTATTTACCCTCTCCCACTGCTAAAACGCAATGCAGTTTTTCAGAGTCTGATATTAGAAGATTTAATGCAATTCACCAGCCTCTAGGGGAAATATGCAAAATTTTCTCCTTTGGCTTTGAGCTCATTTAAATGATAAAAATAATGCACATAAAATACATAGAAAACATTGAAGTAAGATAAAGAAAATCTAAGAAAAACCATTTGTAATACAGGTATTTTAGGTAGTCTTGTAAAGAGAATAATTAGTGTGAGATAGAAACATCTAGAAGCCTTTACAGGAGAGATGCTATTCAACAGATACCTGTGCCAGACATTGTGTAATGAACAGAGTTCCTGCCCTCAGCTGACTTGCAGTCTAGTAGCAAAGCAGTCCCTATAGATTATGCAGGATTCAGCATTATACTTCCTTCCATTATAATGCTTTTGTACTACTGGGTTTTCCATTTTCTGTTCATAGCCCTAACAATGAGAAAACAGAGTGATAAATTTTGGTTCTTTACTATCCTCTATTTTCTCCTATTTATTTATTTTTTAAATTCAGATAGGCTTCATCTACTTTTCTTTCTATCACTAAGAAAATTACATCGTACCTAATATCTGGTTAAAAATAAAATGCAGGCAGCCAGGAGCCCGAAAACCCAGGAATGCATCCTGATTTTATTGTTCACTAGCCACAAGCCTTTGTACTAGTCACTTAACCCTCTGGGCCTTGCTTTCCTTGTTTTTAAAATGAGGTGGGTGGGATAGGTGATCGTTAAGATTTCTTCAAATTATTAAAAACTTGGGCTGCTATAAAAGTGTATGTATTTCCCTAATTGTGATCCCACAGAGCAGGTGAGGGACTTAGTTATTGTTTGTCAGAGGTGTTTGTTCCTGATTATGAAGTACAGAGTATAGACTATGTCTCAGGCCCCCTAGGTGAGATGACAGACTTTCACCATGCCTTCCCTTAACATCGGAAGTTCAGTCTTGGCCGATTGGCTAAGTTGGAACATCATCCCATACACTGAAAGGCTGTGAGTTGGATCCCCGGTCAGCACATGTACAGGAGACAACTGACCCATGTCTCTTTCTCTCTCTCTCTCTCTCTCTCTCTCTCTCTCTCTCTCTCTCTCTCTCTAATCAATTTAAAAAACCATATTCTTAGGTGAGGATTAAAAAAAATTGTTAGCACACATTAACAAATTCTTTATAGATTCTTAACGAAAACATTATCCAATGGAGGTGTCAGGATTAGAGACTGCTACCTTCAATCAGTCGCTTCAGGTTTGATATTCTGTCAGAGACTGCATGTCCTTTTGCAGGAAATCAAACTAATGTGCATTAAATGTCTCACCGGATCCTTCCAACAAGTTTGACCATTTTACTAACATTTCTCTGTGGTTGTGAAGGTTGGGATGTCCTTGTCTGCTTAACAGTCAGGTGCATGATGCCGCTGAATTTTAAGAAAACAGATAACTGCCTCTGAGCACATCCTTGGCAGTCTCTGAAAGCTGCTGCTGAGTCACTGCGTTAGAGTGTAGCCTATCTTCCTCTCGTCCCCATGGCACCATGGGAGAAGTTTTTGGCAGATGTCAACATATTAGGATGAAAAATAAATGTTTGTTTTGCATTAGCCACAAGTTGCATGACCTAAAAGCAAGATCCCTTCCATAAAAGTAGATCACAAGACAATACTAATAAACTAAGATTCAGAATTCAATTGGAATTAAGGTGTTAGGTAGGAGAAATGTGAGGGAATAAGATTCATCAAAGAGATTAATGTGGAAGACATTGCTAAAGTAATCTGTGTTCACCTTCCAAATTTGTTAAATTGGTCATACACTCATATATTTCATTTATTTAATTGAGTTTTTAAAATATGTTTCATACATTTTCAATAATGTATTTTAAATCTTTTTTTTTTCAATAGCTCTTTCAGAATGGATTCTGTGCATAACAAAGTGAAAAGTCCTGGAAATGATATTTTGCATATTTTAAGCTTCTACGGTTACTTAAGAAATGGTAAAGTTACAGATATAGTCTGTTTTGTTTTGTTTTTATTTCTATGACATAAAATAACTAGTTTCTATAACTGAATAACACTCTACAATTTAGAATAAGCAAGTGTCTTATATTATAACATTTCACATGGTTATATTTTTGTATTATGCCAATATTGAAATATATGTGAAAAAAATTTTAAAGTACACATTTTTTAAAATTAGCCTTATGCATGTCTTCTTTTTTAAATATATTTTTATTTATTTCAGAAAGGAAGGGAGAGGGAAAGAGAGATAAAAACATCAATGAAGAGAGAGCATTATTGATCAGCTGCCTCCTGCATGCCCCACACCAGGGATGGAGCCTGCAACCAGGGCGTGTGCCCTTGACTGGAATCAAACCTGGGACCCTTCAGTCCACAGGCCGATGCTCTATCCACTAAGCCAGAGGCCGGTAAATTGCAGCTCTCAAGCCACATGCGCCTCTTTGGCTCCTTGACTGTGGCTCTTCCACAAAATACCACGTGTGGCACACACATAAAGTGCAGTTGAAACTTGTGGCCCATGCGCAGAAGTCGATTTTCGGCTCTCAAAACAAATTTCAGTTGTACTGTTGATATTTGGCTCTGTTGACTAATGAGTTTGCCGACCACTGCACTAAGCAAACAAGGTAGGGCACAGCAGTGATTATTACACTAGAGGATGTTAGAGCTATTTCAGAAGTCATATAATGGTCCTTGAAGTCTGTGACAATCTTGCTTTTTATAATAGATTCATCCCAAAACTTGCTTCTTCAAATATTTAACCTCTCACTAAGTTGCAATTCTATCCTTCCAGTTGTTAAGGCTGAAAACTTTGAGGCCATTTTGATGTTTCCCTTTCTCTCATATTCCAGATCTAACCTTTTAGTAATCACCTTGGTTCTACCTTCAGAATATACCCCATATTTTGACTGCTTCTCTCCACTACAGAACCACCCTTCATCATCCTTAATCACCTCTTGCCTTGATGACTACAGAGGCCTCCTATTTTTTATTCCTACATTCTATTCCCAACCAGGCAACCAGAGTGACCTATTAGAAACAAAGTCAGAACCTCATGCTTCTGCTTAACTCTGTGGCTTCTGCATCACTCTGAATAAAAGCCACAGCATTTAGGATAACTCACAAGGCTTTTCTGCCTACCCTACATCATTGTTCGCGCTCCCAGCTGACCCCATCTCTTTCTACTCATTTCCTGCTTCCCATACTCCAGCTCCACTGGTCTTTTTACTCATACCCAAACATGACAGGGAGGTCTAAGGCCCTTTGTATTGGCTGTTTCCTCTGTCTGGAATTCTTTCCCCAGCTTTCAGAGTCAGCCTGCTGCCCCTCACCTCCATCACACATCCTTCAATGCTTGCTCACATGACATTTCATCCCTTCTCCCAGCAACCCTAACCCTTTTCCTGTTTTACAGTTTTCCACAATCCTTTTCACTAAGTGACATACTACATATGATTTTTAAATTTATTATCTATGTCCTGCTAGTTAAGTTCCATAGGTGGAGGCCACCAGGGCTGGCCATGGTGTGTAGGAAGCTTGGCTTCCTCCATTGCTAGAGAAACCCAAGCCTTCTGCTCACTCTGTGGCCAAAGCCATCTTGGTTGGGTTAATTTGCATACTCACTCCTGATTGGCTGGTGGGTTTGGCTTGTGGGTATAGCAGAGGTAAGGTCAATTTGCAAGTTTCTCTTTTATTAGTGTAAATCAGTGGTCAGCAAACTCATTAGTCAACAGAGCCAAATATCAACAGTACAACAATTGAAATTTCTTTTGAGAGCCAAATAGCCAAACTTTTTAAACTTAAACTTCTTCTGATGCCACTTTTACAAAATAGACTCACACAGGCCATGGTATTTTGTGAAAGAGTCACACTCAAGGGGCAAAAGAGCTGCATGTGGCTTGTGAGCCACAGTTTGCTGACCACAGGTGTAGATCATTGCTACATTGGAATGGCCTGAACAGCAGCACATGCAGCCCCTCGTAGGACTATTGAAAAGAATAGTTGGGATATTTTAGAGTTGGAGTTTAGTAATAGCTTTGAGTTACTGAGTATTTTCAAAGAATTATGTTAATAATTTTGCATATATTAGCTCAACTTATATATAAAGGGCATTATGTAGTAGGAGGAACTATCTCTGTTTTACCCTTAGAAAAACTGGAGGTCAGGGAACTTAGATGACTTACTTATAGTCATAAGCAGAAGGGCCAGATTCTAGTCCAACTCTGTCTGATTCCAAATCCCTTGCTCTTTCCAGTATGTCAGGCCACTTCTGACATCTAAGATTGCTAGTAATGTTCTCCCTATATGGCCCATTCTGAGTCACCTGTCTTTTCCTTAGTGGTTCTTGTTAGAGTATTTATCCTCACTTTCATTTTTTTTAGTAGACTAGGAAATGGATTGGAATTTGAGGCATAAGTGGTTTCTGCAGAGACCAAGAGACTTGCTAACCAGAGCCAGGGAGCCTCAGATTTTCCTATGGCTGCTGAAACCAAAGCAGCCCGAGCAACTAGTGTTATTACTGATGCATTCCTGATGTTTAAAGTTGGCCTTGATACATTTAAAACCCAGTTAGGTAATAAGGAAATGTTATGTGTTTTAATAATTGAAAGATGAGAGGTAAAGGGAAAGGAGGGATTTACTTCATGCTATTAATTCTAAAGTAAAAATACACTGTGGCACTCATTCTAAAGGGTTGACAGGACCAGTGCCCACTTCTTTCAGCAAGAACGGTGACTAGTAATATTGGTAAACCTGGGATGCTTTCTTTTTATCTCTCCCCCTTAAGTTGCAATTAATTCTTTAACTCCCTGACATTCCCAAGAAAAGTTGGCTCTCATTTCCACCCCATATTAAAATTTAATATCACATTAAAGTGCACTGTGAAGTACCCCTTGATGCCAGTAAGCAGTTACAGTTGAGACCAATACTTCGCTTTGATGGTAGAGTCACAAGGTCAACAAAAGGAGAGAGATTTTAAAAAAAATGTCCTTTTACCTGCTGTGCTCATGAAGAAATGGAAAATATGACTTCGAAATCATACTGCTCTATCATGTTTTATGCCCTGATCTTGGTCATTTCAATTCACATTATATGTTTTATCAGGAAAAACAATGAGTTTTAAGTTTCTTATGTATTGTTTACGTTTCTTTCATGTTCTCAACTTATATTTAATACCTTATAATACATTTCCCTTGACCACTAATATAATGCACACATACATATATCTATTGATATTTAAAATGGTGATTTAATAAAATGCACATTAGACTAATACTAATTTTAAAAGTAGCAGGATTTCAGACCTATATAATACATTAATTTAAATAGACAATCATAGTCATTTTTCTCTCCAGTGCAAGCCTGTATTGTTTTTATCTAATTCAGGGATCTGGTACCTAAATAATATATTGTACCCATCAGAAAGTCTTAATTCATCGATTTTTCTCTTAGATGAAAATATGTACATTTTCAATTAATGAAAAGGTTCTTATTAAGTGCTTTTTGTGTAGGAAACTGCTGGACACTCTATAGATCAGCGTTTTTCAACAGCCTGGTGTGCTGTAGGTGCAGACAAGACAAGAATTTTATAATTTTTCACTATTTTGTTTACTTAATATTTCATAATAAAGTAATTATAAAATACTTTCTTTGTGTTTATTTGATTCCTATTCAAGAGAATTACTTTATATATAGTCAATATAGGCACAGAGTTAAATTTTTTAACATTTTCTAATGGTGGTGTGCCTCGTGATTTTTTTCATGAAACAAGTGTGCCTTTGCCCAAAAAAGGTTGAAAAACACTGCTATAGATCAATTTAAATAAACCAAGCCCTAGCTCACTCTTAAAATTTCACACTAAACATTAAGGCAAATGGATAGAAGGGAGATTCAAGAGGGAAGACTTAAAAGAAACAATACACAAAAAAATGAGGCAAATTAAAACTGAAGTGCTGTACCTATTGATCAGAGTAGCAGAACTGGGTGAGGACAAATCAAGGGAAGTCTTTTATACGATTTCTGCATGATAGATGCAATGTTCAATTTCTGGAACTATTCACATTAAGAAGGAATTATAAAATTTGGTGATCTGTTTGAGTGGGAATATTAGTCATTACATTTTGTTGGCAAAAAAAGGTACAAAGATGGGTTTAAAGTGTAAAGATGAATTTGATTTAACATAGGTAGATATGTATTAGTCTAATTATTATAAATGCATACATTAATGAATGGTTTTTGACTCTTGCTGTACGTGAAAATCCTCTGAGGTACTTTTACAGAGTATTCATGCCTGACCCACTGTCATCCTGACTTATTAAATCAGAATCTCTGAAAGACTGACCCCGGGCTTTGGTTTATGAAAAAAGTCTCCCCAAGTGATTCTACTGCGCAGCTGGAGTTGAGGACCATTAGGTGCATCCATTTTGAATACTCTCAGGATATAAATGTGTTCTGTATGTTCCTAGGTAAGAATGAACCCCATCTACCTGAAGCTGATGTTTCTCTCTTGAAGCTAATTTCCTGTTGGAGAGACCAGTCTGTGCAGGTATGACACAGCGCATGTTCTTGATTATGGAAGAGCTTATTGCTGCTGTGGTTCATTCATCCTCCTTTTTGTTTGAACGTATGAGTGAGTAGGTGTGCTTGTCCTCACACAATGTCCTCCCAGGGCATTGCACTTAAAGGGGTTAATGCAGAGACTGATAGTGAGGGGGAAAGTGGAAAATAATATATACGAAGGTGCACCAAGTTAGGGGGTCTGAATAGAGGGAGCTAAGAAAGAGATGTTAATGGGATCCATAACTTACTACTCATTGAAATTTTAATTTGTGGCACAATTGTCTATTATTTTATTTCAAAATGTCTCTAGGCTTAGGAATTTGGTAAGTGTAATTAGAAATGCTTTTCTTTCCTGAGAATTCTTCGTTTATGTGCTAATTTAGATGCCCAATTGAAGCCTTTTCTTTTTTCAGTCCTAAAAGTAAGTGGATAGCTTTATACATACAAAAAAAATCTGTACATTGATTAGATGGGTACTTATTGGAACTTTGCTCTTCTTCATGAGCTTAATGCATATCAAATTTGCAAGACAAGAATAGCAGTAACAATGATTAAAAATGGCTATTTTGGGTACAGGAAAACCAAAGAAAATTAACTCAGGATGAACTGTGGGGGTTGACACTATAAAACCAAGTAAACACAACTGGAATGGTTATTGAAACTGGCCATGGCTGGTTACCATGGCCAACTAGTTTCTATAAGATTTGCCCTTAGCCTAACCTCTTTGCTCATCCTTTTCCCTCCTATCTTTGCCATACTGAGCGTCTTTATATTTCAGAACATACAAAGCTCATTTCCACCTTAGGCTATTACTATTCTCTTGAGCTAGAATTTTCCTTTTTCCAGATATTATTTGCTCAAAAGTCAATTTCTTAGAGAGGTCTACTCTGATCACTCCATCTAATAGTGTCACCTCCCCCCCACCAATCTCATGCCTCCAGCCACCATCCCATTACCCAGTTTTCTTTTCTTTTTTGTGTGCTGTTTTTAATGGAGAGTATACCTTTATTTTTAAGTATATTTTTTATTATTTCAGATAGGAAGGGAGGAGAGGGAGAGAGAAACATCAATGATGAGAGATAATCATTGATCAGCTGTCTCCTTACACATTGCACACTGGGGATGGAGCCTGCAACATGGGCATGTGCACTGACCAGGAATAGATCCTTGACCTCAGAGTTCATAGGTCAATGCTCTATCACTGAGCCATGATGGCTAGGCTATACCTTTATTTATTTGCTTGCTTATCTTCTGTTATATTCAGCTTGCTGAGAGCAGGGGCTTGGTCTCACTCACCTCTCTTTGACCAGTGCCAAAAAAAGGCAGTAGTGACAGTAGCCAGTCAATAAATAGTAAATGAATGAATGAATGAATAGCTATGCAAAAGCCTCTGTGATAATCAAATGGGCATCAGTACATGTTGACTTTACCAGCATATTATCAATAAAGGAATCTATCTATTAAAAGTGCGATTTTTTTTCCCCCTACTAGCCAACAAATTCCACAATTGGGAAAAATCCTTAAGAAAATGAGTTTAACAGAACATTTATCATGAATTGCTCTAACTAAATATTTTTTTGTAGTTGTTAATTTGACTTTCAGATAAGTTTTAATGAGGTTTGGACATGCTTGGACTAGTGGATCTTTAAGGTTCTATGATACTATGACCCTGTGCAAAATGCTGGGAGCAGGTACAAATATTATCAGAGCATTTATAACTCACACTATAGGAAGTCCAAGCTTCACAGTTTGCCTTTCATCTCTGCCACTAGACCAATGAATGACTCTGGAAGATAGGGTTAACTTTAACTATTTTCCTCATGTGTAAAGTGGGAATGAGAATTTTTGCAAGTATCCATTTAAATGCTTCATCAAACAAGTCCTCAAATTACTAATAAAGCTGTTAATTTAAGCAGTTTGTCAAATCAAGTTAACTTGAATCTACTTTCTAATATATTTTAGAATCACTAGGTGGGAAGGGAATGCTTTTGTAAAATAGAGCAATATCCTACTTCAGAAGTTGGATTAGGGGGTATCTTAAGGGAACAAGTAAGAAGGAATATATTTTTCAGATGAATAAGTTTGTCTGGAAATTGTCTCTTGTGCTTCTCACACAAGAAACATACCCATATTTTATCTCTACTATCTATCCATTTTATCTTATTGGAATAAGGGCTGAAATAGCAACAGCAAGGTTTTGTGGTTGCTAATTTGCATATTTCAGAAGCTGCCCTTACAGACTTGGGATTTTCTAATGGAACTCCAGTGAGTGAAATATGACATCAGCACCTCTAAGGCAGAGGTGCTGTGGCTTTTTTAAGGAGATGCTGCAAAGACCAGTGTGAGCCAGGATTGGAAAAATGCTTTTATATCAGAAAATTTGAACACTGGAACGATAAGCAGGCCTTGGTGGCTCTTAATGAGTCTTTATAACATTCTGTGCTATTTTGCTTTGCTGTTTCAAGGTCTTAGTTAAAAACAAAACAAAACAAAACAAACAAACAAAAAAAAAACAAAACCTAAAAATTTCAGCTTGCCTATGGCACTGAAATACTTCTAGTAATGAGTACATGGTCCAGATTCGTGGCTTTCTCTTTCCAGCTTATGCATTAGTAAACATTATTTCATTATTTTAAATCACTGCACAGTCCCTCATAAGAGTTTAATACTTTGCATATCTATTTGCAGAGAAACTTGCATTCAGGAGTCAGCTTGATATCCATAGTGCTTTCAATTCTAGCTCTTTATTAAAATCACAAATACTGCATACATTTTACATTTTGGGGCATAAATTTTATCCCTACTATCTATAAAATTTATCTACTATATTTATATAGTAGAAAAGCTGAAATATTGATGGTTAAAAAGAAGCAATAAATTCTACTTTCCACAGTGTATGTTTTTAAAGTGTTCAGGAGTATTTTAATTCCATTAGTATGTATTTAGTGCCCACTGTATACCAGATACAGTGGTAATGTTATTTTAACCTGCTTATAAGTTGTATAGTTTCTCTGAATTGGAACCATGCTTTATTGATTTCACACAGAGCATCAAGTGTGTATTTTGAGTTTGTCTCCAGCTAGGTGTATGCCATTCAGTATTCACTTTTAAGTTTTGTAGCTCTGAGTATTCTATTCATTATGATGAATATTTTTCATTTTGTTATTTTTACTTCCTCTTGTTTTCAATGATACTGTTATTAATTATTCTCTTAATATGTATTTGTAGTAACAAATATGTCAAAATCCCCAAAATTCAACAGTTAAAAAATATGGTCATGATATATAAATCCAATAATTAGAAATGTTAGATGAAATTACATACACCCTTATAGGTTTTTAAGAAAGAATATTGATCCTGGTTGTTATAGACTGTTGTATCCAGTGGGAGAGAGGACTTTCTGAGTCACAGTTGTGGGTGTTCCTAGAGATGACAATGATCACAGTGAGAGGCAGCCATACTTCCATGGGGCATATGGCCAGACGGCTCATTCGGAGAGGTAGGCCACAATCTGGAGGGACCATGGGTCTGAGGATGTCGTCCAATAGCCTTCTGAATTACAGTTATGGACAGAAGAAGGTTCCACACAGGACTCTGTGATTGGAAGCTCTCATTCCAGCCGCTCTCGGTATCACGGACTTTGTTTTGTAAGTGAGGAAATGAAGTCCCAGAGTAGCACCCACACTTGTCAAAGGTTGCATCTATAGTTACTGTCATAGTTGGATCAGAAGCCCAGGCTTTCTGATTTCATATTTAGAGCTCTCTGTACCACATCATCCACATCTTGTAATCAGTACTGTCAAATAAAATGTGGGACAAAATTCAAGTAAAATTCATTGATGTGCAATTATTCATGAATAAATAATATAGTTTGGTCCTCTATATGACACACATAAATATGCATGGACCACCTCTATTGTGGTATAGAGTGTATGCTAGCAAACATTATTTCTAATAGTTAATATATTATCACATAACATGTAGATATTAATATCATGATTCACTAGTATCTTGATTTGCAGAACAGTTAGATTCATGGTATACAATAACTGACACAGTGTTGAGAATCTCATCATGTGATATGCATGAGTGAGCATTTATGTACCTGTACTGTGACAGGCAGTACTACAGTGTTGGTAGACATGGTATATAGTACAGTGGTTGGCAAACCATGGCTCGTAAGCCACATGTGGATCTTTGACCCCTTGAGAGTGGCTCTTCCACAAAATGCCACGGCCTGGGTGAGGCTATTTTGAATAAGTGGAATTAGAAAAAGTTCAAGTTTAAAAAATTTGGCTCTCAAAAGAAATTTCAATTGTTATACTGTTGATATTTGGCTCTGTTGACTAATGAATTTGCCAATCACTGGTATAGTAAAATCACTTCACTCATTATCTGTCTTTTCCCAAGCCAACCAAGCATTTGAGTTTGAGCATTTGAATGAAAAAAAAAAAAAACACAAAACAAAACAAACAAACAAAAAACAAAAACAGAGGAGCGATCAGTAATCAGGAAATCTCTGATACTTTTAGGAAGCTTCCTATATTGGAAGGTCAAGGGTCCAGGTCCTTCTGCCACAGTCACTTAGTAAGCATCTGCCATCAGCAACAGCTCTCTGAGTGTCCCTAGAGCCTAAAAGTCTCTATCGCAGTCATGCCACATAAAAGAGACTAAATAAATATTTAGATGTGTACATGTTCTATTTTTGGCATCAGCCTCTCTCCATCACCCTGGGGTTGCCCCAAAGCCCATGCCCCGGGCATTGTAAGAGCAGGCTGGGGATAATGCAGAGGGGGCAGTGGCAGTTGTGGAACCTGAGTCATTGGAGGGCAGGTTTTAGAGGAGAAAGGAGCAGGCAGTGGGTGATGGCTATATGAAAGGTTTAACTGTCAGCCAGAGAAGGATAATAGGAAGGTGTCCCAAGTTCACCTAGATCACAGTGCCCTTCGTTTTTCCCTCACTTATTCAGCACTTGACTTTCCTTGAACTTGACCTAACACCTAGACTGTATCTCATTTCTTTCCAGAAAAAAGCTAGAGTACACCAGCTTTTTACTCATGGATAGAGGGGAAGAACCTTAGCACAAGATATGCAAAAAGGACAGAGGAACAAAGCTCAGAAGACCTGTCTATCAAGTCTGTGTAGAACTTGGGATGTCATATACTATATTATTTATTTAAAAATGAACATAGTGGATTAGGTACCCTGTGACAAGTATTCCCCCACCCCCTCTAGCCAACCACAGGTCCTTGAGTGGGCATGTACAATAATGGGAAATTGCACCTTGCAGTATTGTGACCTATATAAAGCCACGTGCATATACACAGAGTTTAGTGAGATTTATTATTAAAGTCTTGTCTTTAACTTTCTGTATTTAACCTGGTTTAAATCATGTGTTTTTAGCTAAATAGTGCTTTAGAGCTAGATATTATTTGAGGAACTACACTTGTCTTTAAGAGCATTATGACATATTCAAATTAGTTTCCTTTATTTTCCAGTGAAAATATCTTAAAAGAAGGAATTCAAAACTCCTTTCAACTTTCCTGTATAGTATTTTGCATTTACAAAAGATCAGTGTCACCATTTGGGTGCCATTTCTCAGTATCTGCATTTTAATTATTTCAGATGCTAATCCTAGTGGAATGGAACATTGCAATTTATGTGAATCCTTCCTAATCGAAATTTCAGGCTTTGGGCTTTGTGCAAAACAAATTATTATTATTTGTAATAATACTAAATATAATTTGTATGGAAACACAAACTTAACAGGTAACTGAAGCAATACAAGCTGTTCTCTTGGCGGAAGTTCAACAGCACATGAAGACCTTGAGAAAGACACCAGTCAACAGTGAACCAGGGTCCATGAATGAGAATGGTAACTACCAGATGATGCAGATCCAGCCAAAGATGGAATGCACAGAGGAACTAGAGTTACAGTGTATTACAGACAGTTTGTCTCTGCAAAGTAAGTGCAAAATTTATTGGATGCTCTTTCATTGGGATTTTTTCTACTATTTAGAATTTATTGAGAATATGAGTTCACAATATATCATTTCTGCAAAAATCAAGCCAAGTGCCCTGTATCTGACCTATTCTGCTATCAATTTCCTCATATAATTGTCAGATTTTTAAAGAACTTCTATATTCTATTATAATCAGTAAATATTTTCCAAAACAAAAACTATATTATTTATAAAAAATGTTTTGAAAGTAAGTAATTAAAAATGAAAACAGGATTAACAGTAATAGCTTAAAGGGATATACAGTATAAAAGTTTGTTTTCATTTGCTACCATGACAGTACCCATGTGCCAGTTTTTGGGATTTTTTTTTTTCTTTTCTGGGAATAAGAGACATAATAGACACTAAAATTAAACTGGTTTATAGTTGGTCCACTTGATTTTATAACACATCTTATCATTATAACTTTATAATGATGATGTTTATGGCTTATGGCAAGCAAATAAATCTAAATTTCTGCTGTAAAACATTAACTCATTCACTGTGACTTTAAAAAAATAAGAAAAAACAGTTAAAAATAAGTGAAAATCTGATTTTCAAATTTATTAGTAAGTTTTTGATGAAAAAATGATTGATAATATGACCAAATGTATATTTAAATTAATTTTCAATTACTACGTTTGAGTTTTCAATTCATTTGGCCAGGCACCCATATGCCATTAATAGGTTTCTTCCAACTTTCCAAACACAGCTAATGTCATCATGAGTAAATGCTCCTGAGGTGGCATTTCTGTGCCTCATACCAAATCATGAGTGCCTAACTTATCCACTGGCCCAAAGACCTGTTTTCTAGGTGAAAAATTCATGGCAGAAAATCAAGGTGGAACTTCTGATGAGTCTTATTGTCACATGAGTTACCCATTATTTGAAGTTTCACTGAGGCCTTGTTCTGTCCTCAGTTAATTATTGGATATAAGAACTATCCTATCTAAGAAAAAGATAATATGCAAATTGACCAGTTCTCCAACACACAAGAAGATGGCCACCCCCATGTGGACACCAGATGGCTGCCACAGATGGCCAGCAGGGAAAGGCAGTTGTGGGCGATTAGACCAGCAGGGAAAGGAAGTAAAGGGGGACCCAGACTGCAGGAAAGGGTTGTTACAGGGCACCCAACCTGAAGGGGAGGGCAGTTAGGGACGATCAGGCCTGCAGGGGAGAACAGTTAAAGGCAACCAGGCCTGAAAGGGAGGGCAGTTGGAAGGGACCAGGCCAGCAGATGAGGGCAATTGTGAGTGACCAGGCCCAAAAGGAGGGCAGATGGGGAGGACCAGGCCTGCAGGGAAGGACAGTTGGGGGTGACCAGGGCAATAGGGGAGGGCTGATGGAGGGGGTTGGACCAGGCCTGAAAGGGAGGGCAGTTGGGGGAACCAGGCCTGCAAAGGAGGACAGTTGGGAGGGATCAGGCCAGCAGGGGAGAGCAGTTAGGGTTGACCAGCCAGTAGGGGAGGACAGTTATGGGTGACCAGGCCAGCAAGGGAGGGCAGTAAGGGGCAATCGGGCTGGCAAGGGAGCAGTTAGGCATTGATCAGGCTGGTAGTGGAGTGGTCAGGGGATGTACAGGCTGGCAGGCAAAAGCAATTACGGGCTATCAGGCAGGCAGGCGAGCTATTGGGAGCCAGAAGTCCTGGATTGTGGACATCAAGGGATGTCCAACTGCCCAATCCCTTGAGAGGTCCCAGATTGGAGAGGGTGCATGTTGGGCTGAGGGACACTCTTCCTCCTCCATGCACAAATTTTGTGCACTGGACCTCTAGTTAATACTATAAAATGTAATTTTACTGTGAGTAGAGACACCCAGAATTCATGGTAGATATTAACTATCTTTAAGTTACTATGGATGAGCTTTGCTAATGTTAAAAGAAAATTTAGGCTTGTTTGTGATAAAAATTGGAACACAAAAATATTACGATTTATATGTTGTACCATATGTTGGTAGATGAAAGAATATTTTAACTAAAAATAATATACTCAAAAAATGCTGAGAATATCTTTTATTGGGGGGGATGCTGCCTGTAGGAAAATATTAACTGCAATTACAAGTAAATCAGAAACATATAACATGCATTGAAGAGGAAAATTTCCAAGTAATATTATATTTATATGAACACTGCCTATTCAGAAAAACTCATAAAAATGACAGGAAAATTTTAGACTTTTATTACAGTAGTATGTATTGCATTACTTGATGAAATTTTAAAATATATATAAGTAAAAAAAAACTATTTGTTTACTTCAAATATCTTGATTCAAAGGTAATGGAGATGGTGTGGTACTCTTCATCAGTGCGATTATTCCTCAAATTCTGTAGGCAGTTACTTAAGCAGAATGCCCTTAAAACATCTATTATTTTACAAAATATTATTATAATAAATGGTTTATGTCATTTAATTTTATCAGGTTTTTGTTCACTTGTCCTCTGTGAGCTCCACTCCACACCCTTTTAAAATGATTTTCTTTTTTTAATTGATTTTTTTTATACTTTCTTGATTACTTGATGCATTCTCTTTGTTAATCATTTGTAAAGTAAGAGATGATGGTTTTATGATGCACAGGTATTCAAAAACTTCTTTTATGCCAGGGCATAGTATATTTGGTTTATTAGTATAATAGTAATATAACAATAATAGATATGGATAAAATAGTAACAACAATTATCGTATTCTTAGTATACTCCAACATAAATGTTCTCTCACTTTTTCCTTTGATTCATACATAATTCACATGAACCTTAAGTCTGTCTTCAACATTTGACTCATCTGTGTAATCAATTTTACAATTTTTAAATGTGCATGTTCATGGAAATGAAGTGTTTGAAATGAAACTACTCTTTGAGAAAGACACAGCCTGAGAAATTGCTCCTTAATTTTGTTATTTGACACACTACTTATATATCTTCCTCATATACATGAAATAAATAATATTTGAAAATAAGTCCATCACCATACCAGCTATCTTGAATGCCACCAGAGGTGTATATCTTGTACCTTGAGATATGCTTTCTTTTATTATCCTATTTTTTTCAATGAATAAAACTGGGATTTAAAAGAGGGTGAGTAGCTTATCTATAGTAAAAAAATTACTGAAAACATGGATGAATATTCTCTTAAACACTGTGTTCTTGTCCAGTAAACTGCATTTTCCACACTGGCAGCTTGAGGAAATTTGCTCTAAATCAGCTCAATCTGAAAATTGAATAATTTATTGAGTGGTTTTCTTAGATTTTTATTCCTCTCTCATAAATCATACTTTCTATTACCAAAGAAAATGCAGAGTGTTCAATCACTGCCCTCTCAGCCCTTATAATAAAGAAAATCACCAGATTTTTTTTAACTATTTGTACGTGAGATGCACCTAGAAAGCAGTAGAAATGAGTGAAATGAAAATTGAAGCATAATGCGTTTGAACTTTATAAATCCATATCTTGATTATTTTCAGTGTTTTCATTTCTTACATTTCACAGCACGTATTTTATTTGAGGTTTTAATATTTGTCTATTGGTATTTTAGGGGAGAATGGTATATTTTATCTGAGTTTACTTTTTTATAATGATTACTTTGCTATCTTCTTTAAATCTCTTTATTAAGAAATTATATAACTAACACTCACATTTGAGGCTAAGATTCATTGATTTTAAAATAGTAGTGTTTCCTATTATTAAAATACATTTGAAAGTTCTTTTTCCTTATTTTTTAATGTTACTTGGATCAGTTAAACAAGTGCTCTAAATTGTCCCATTAAATAAATTGGTTTAAATAGAAATGGAGGCTTTGCAGATAAAGCTGTCACCTGAAATTATCGGCTGAATTTAAATTCACATTAAACTGTAGATGTGAAGATCATGCATCAAATATGGGTATTGCAAATAATCTTTATTAGATGCACCATTTTCAAAGACTTATCTACAGAATTAAATAATGAAAGTGTGCTCTTTGTTTATAGTAACTCAAGGAAATAAACATTGATTCAACAGAAAAGTTTTGTGATCCTGGTGGCCGATAGCAGAGGGACTGGCTTGGGAGGGTCTTCCTTGGCCTGCTGAATTTCTCAGAAGAAAATCTGTCTAGTTGTTAAAAGGCTTTGGAATACAGTTGACTACTTCACAGGGACAGTGCTTTTTTTGGACTGTCTTTATTTAGTCAATGCATCTTCTACCGCCCTCTATGAGGTCTTCAGGCTAAGTGAGAATACCAAGACTTTCTTCTTTCTGGCCACAGAAGTCATTTAGGAAAGGTCTGCATGATATGAGTGAGCAAGCAGCAGAAACGTAATGGCGGAGGGCACCTCATCGAAGGCCTTGGTTGTTATAGCGAGATCTTAAGGTTTTTCTCTCTGAGATGGGAAACCATTTGAGCAGACAAATGGCACACTTTTCAATGGAATCACATTGTCTGAGGTTCAGGGGCCATGGACAGAGGCAGGGAGACCATTTAGGAGCCATTATACTAACCTTGAAGATAGCAGCCTGGCTCAAATATGGTAGCCTAAATGAAGATGAAAAGTGGCGAGACTCCAAATTATTTTGAAGGTAGAGATGACAGTATTTGCTGATGGGGTGAGTATGGAGGAGTGAGATGAAAATCTATACTTAGATTATTTCAAACAAAAAGTATTTGATACAAGATTGACCCTGTGGTTATGGCTTGGTTTGGTCATGCAGTGTTGCATACGGTATTCCAGGCATGCTGAAGGAAGAGTGGAAACCCCACTCCACACTCCCACCTGCCCCTGCTGTGTTCAGTTTCAAGTGTCCCTCCTTAGATGACTTCTAGTATTAACTCACCCTCCGAAAATGGACAAGAGTTTCCTGCCAAGAAACTATTGATAGAAGACAATACTAATAATGCAAGCGTAAGCAAATAAGATGTAAATTACATTGGCAAACTTATCTTAAGCAATGTCAGATGTGTGTGTGTGTGTGTGTGTGTGTGTGTGTGTGATACTC